ATCAGATTTTTTCCCCAATTCTTCCGTTTTTTTTTGACACTTTAAAACCCAGACAGATTTAAAATCGAGGTTATTATAAAATTTGTTATTAATACTTAATATACTATTATTTTATGAAACAAACTGTTCTAAATGCGACTTACCATGCGGAGTTTCAAAGTGAAATTTATTCTGTTAATATTTTACATATTGTTTTAATAAAAACATTAATAATAATAAAAAAATGTGAATAAATGTAGTTTATACAATTCCACACTATAGGTATTAAAACGGCCTTGAAGAAGGGTTAGTGACCTAATCAGAGTCATTCAGTGAAGAAATGCTGGCTTCTTCAGCAAGCGTAGTGCAATTGCCGCACCGTTGGCAATCTCAATCGGCCATATAGATCTAGAAAAGATATCCGCTACCAGTGCTAGTTTAACCTTTTATGCGACTGTTAAACGTTCCCATTACAATTTTAAAAATTTCTTTCTTCGAAGTGTAAAGTATTTTTGTTCTTTCTTTCGCATTTACACCGTCACATCTAGGCTTTGTTATGGCAGGACAATTTTAATCCGATGTTTATGCCTTAACGCGTTACGTTTTATAAACAAATTTAAAAAATAAAGATACATGATTTTTTCTCTTAAATAGGATACCCCTATAAAATCTTTATTAAAAGAGTTATCGAAAAAAATTTAAATCCAGCTTGCATGGTTTAAAAAGTAATTTTTTTGACAAAAATTTAAAAACAAAAAGCATCCGTAAATTTAATAAAATAGCATTGACATTGGTTTTTTCAATGAAACACCCTGTATTTTTTAAATTATTAAATAGATTTTTTTCTTCTAGTTTTAAAAATATATAGTTTTTATGTATTTGTGATAAGTGTTTTGTTGACCCGAAAATTATGCCAAATCTAAAGCGAGAATCATGGTTGCCATGGATTATAAAAACATTAAACGACCTGAATTCTTTATACAAGGCAACTATGATTTGTACGTTAAAATAAGCCAGGTTTTTGGTTTAATTATTAACACATACAAATTATATATTTTTGAAATTAAAAAAAAAACTATATCTAAATATTCAAAAATATACAGGTTGTTTCATTGAAAAAAACAATGTTATATTTTATCAATTTACCGATGCTTTTTTGTTTCTTAATGTTTGTTAAAAAATTACTTTTTTAAATAAAGATTTTGAAGGGGTGTCCTATTTATACGAAAACTCTGTAAATTTAACATTTTTGGAAAAATATTTAATTTGGATGATATCGCTATCCGCCATTTATTGCAAATAAAAACGTTTTTAGTTTAGAATAGTAAAAATTTTAAGGGGGCGTTCTACAATGCAAAATATGAAGTTTCTAAGAACATGGGTCAAAAATACTTTATAAGAAAGCTTCGCACTCAACTTTATATCGTAGAACCAACAATTTTCAAAGCGAAAGGCGATTAGACTTTTTAAATAAGAACAGAAAAGTTGATTTTGTTATTTGTAAAGCGTGTGCCAAAATTTAGTATTCTTAAAGTTAAAGTAGACCCGAGATAAAAAAATATATAATGTTAATGTTGAGTGTCATCTTCAAAGGATTATAAAGCATTTTTGTTGTTTGGAGTTGCTTAACAATGCGGAAAAATGTACAATATAAATATAACGATGTAAAATGAAAAATGAATAATTGATAATTTAAAAGGAAGTTATGTACATAGTGCTTAACCATAACTAGTTTTACCTTATGTTATAGTTTTAAACATTAAAAAAATATTTGTTAATTTTAACCAAATATTAACCAGAACTTTATGTTAAGTTTACAACCAACTGTAATCTGTTAATAATAATATTTTGTAGATTTAATAACAAAATCCTTTCAATAATTCAACCATAATTCTTGTAATTTTCAAAAAGGACCTTATTTTTACAAACCTTTTTGTAGACCCATTAACAAAAGTATTTGATGGAAATTGTGAACTTAAACGAAAAGGATTTTGATAAGAAATATTGCCTTATTAATCAATTTCCTAAACATAGATTAATAAGAATAACATACACACAATTAAATAACAACCCATTCTGAAATCATGAAATTATAAAAAAAATTTGTAGAATATAATTATCAGTAACACTTACTGATGTATTTCGTAACTTTAACCCACTTCACTGTATCCCCTAATTTCAGTTCAAAAACCAGTGATGGCATCTTTTTCGGATACTTTTCACACTTTTCACACTCGTTAAATACGAATAAGGAATCCGAATAACAATAATAACAAATTTCTGGTAATATATTATAAACACTCTGGACAGTTGTTATGAATTAAAATAAAATAAGCAGAAACATAAGTTGTAGACGCTGAAGTCAGTTGAACTTGTTAATGCGTATTGTCAGTGGTAAATGTTTTGATTGACTGCCTGAAATCACGTGTGCTTTTTCAACAAAATAATTTGTTAAACATTAACAAAATGCTTACAAAATTGCATATTACCTTTACAAAACTTTCGGTAAAATATGTTCCTTTTTTGAAATAATTACAAACTCATGTTAACAAATCTGATTTTTAACAGGGTATACACTATATACACTATATACACTATATATAGCTTTATTGAAAAGTTATAAATATGCATTTATAAGATGTTATGATGGCATACAAAAGTAAATTTAATGACGTCTTTACTTTTTCAATATTTTGATTAGCAGAAATGTTTAATAATTAATATTTTCAATAGAGCTATAAAACTCTATAACAGTATTTTTCAAAACTTTAATAAAAATATTAATTTTAAGTAATATGCAATAAATATTATGTACGAGGTGTGTTCAGAAAATATCGGGAATTTTCGTTTTTTGAAACAAATATTTATTTATTTGTCTACATTAATGTTGTCGCCTTCAAAATAGTCCCCATTGGATATTATGCACATGTGCCAGCTCTTCTTCCAATACTTGAAACACTTCTAAAACTCGATATTTGGGATAGCCTTTAGTTCTTTCAGCGATGCGCTTTTAATGTCATCTATGCTTGCAAAACGACGGCACTTTTGTTAGCTATATGGACAGTGAAATAAAAGATATTATAATTTAACTTTTAAATATTTAATTGTCTTCAGTCTAAGACAACTCGGAAAGCAAGCGTAGAGGAGACTAAAACTAAAAGTGATACAAAATATTATTAGAGCACACACGCCCTATTTCATTCTTACATAAACATATGCAAGCACGTAACATTAACTGTGCTGATATTATAAACAGTAAATCTACGAGGTAAAGATAAAGAAGTTTTATTTAATAATATTTGGTTTAACTAATATATGTTTATATCAGCTTATTCAACAACTTTAAGGTTCTCTTTATTTTTGGGAATAGGAAAAAGTCAGACAGAGTCATGTCTGGCGAATATGGAGGCTGGTGCATCATTACAGTATTGTTTTTGGCCAAAAATGTTGTTCAAAATTTAACAATTTTAGAACAAATTTTGCTGCCACGCGTTTCATACCGAAATCATTCGAAAAAATTTCATGGGATGAGCCAATCGATATACCAACATCATCAGCGACTTATCTGATGGTTTACAACCATTCTTCCTCTTTTTCCATGTTTTTATGGGTTGTTAATGTGATTGTGAGTTCGGGGCGTTCGTCATCTTCAACGTCTTCACGGCCATCTTGGAAACTCTTATACCACTTGTAAACTCTTGTTTTACTTATAGCAGACTCACTATAGGCCTTTGTTTCATTTTTTAAGCAAAATTGGGTACAAATTCTTTGATCCTATTCTTTTAACGAACGAAAAATCGCCGAGCTCATAAAACACGTCTAACCTTAGCGACTTTCACAGACAAAGTAAACAATGAAAACAGCTAAACTTTTTATCATACTTCGGGGGCATGTATACCAACATAATAAAGACAATTTTATGACAACCGGACCCTCCGAACCCGCGAAATTTAACAATTCATGTTATTTTCTGAACACACCTCGTATAAGATGTTATGATGGCATACAAAAGTAAATTTAATGACATCTTTACTTTTTTAATATTTTGATTAGCATAAATGTTTAATAAATAATTGATATTTTCAATAAAGCTATAAAACACTATAACAAAGTATTTTTCACAGCTTTAGTAAAAATATTAATTTTAAGTAATATGCAATAAATATTATGTATATTAAACATAATACAAATAAATTCTAGATAGTGTAACCTTAACATATTGCGGGATAAAAATATATTTGTGGTTATAAAAATCATGTCATAATTTTATGGGTTTGCACGATCGATGACCTGTATAAACATTTACGATTCCTTGTAAACATTCGGTATTTGATCTAAATTTAAATAGTAATTCGTTACAGGAAATAGACAGAAATTAAGTTTATTAGTGTGATTTTATGTTGGTATGCAATAATAATTAATGACATAATTATTAAAAAACATATACATAAAATGTAATTTTGCAAATTACATTTTAATTTTAATAAAGCGGCAAGTATGAAGTTTTTGTAATTAAAGTTTAACAACTTTAAACACCTATGTTTATTTTTTAAATTATGAACATATGCATACTATAATTTACATAAAGTTTATTATAATTTGCTTCATTATTTTTATACTTGCATTGAAAAAGAATATTTTTTTTTATAATAATTCTGTGAGAAAATATATTGGCGTTTGATCACATAATTTAATTAAAACATAATAAAAAAGTATAATTTTCACCTAGGTATACATTAAAAGTAAAGCTTTGCTTTTATGTTTATTTTAATAACAATGAATATACATTTTATATTTCATTGTATTGCATGCTAAAAAATATCACACATTACATTTCATGTGCTTTTAATTTTTTTTTATTTTAATTATTTAGCAATTTTTGTTCAATTTAAAAAATATTATGTTTCTGTTTTTAGGGTACTGATGACAAATGGAGCAGTGGAGGCTCCCGTGGTAGTGGCAGAAGAACAATGAGCTCGGGCCCCCTTTTTAGGGGCTACGCCGGGCCACGCGCCTAAAACATGCGGGAGGAGGAGCTAGAGGTAGCCCTTAAGGTAAAACACATTTTTATTCAAACCTAGCTTTTTATTAAAAATTAAGCATCGCTTACACTTATTTTAAGAAATACTTAGCTAAATGACTGTTTAGAAAAGTATTTAAACAAGTTGCATACCATACTTTTTCTACGACAAATACTTATTACACGGAAAAAAATAATCGGTAGACTCTACCGAAAAAATCGGTAGACTCTACCGATAAAATCGGTAGTCTCTACCGAAAAAAAATCGGTTCCCTCAACCGATTTTTATCGGTAGCAGCTACCGATTATTTTCGGTAGAGTCTACCGATTTTTTCGGTGCAGGCTACCGAAAAAATCGATTACCAATTTTTGAAAATTTTTGTATTTTTTTAGCGAGAAGTTAAATACTCGCTTTCTATTAAATAGAAAATACTATTTTTTTTGAGGTATAAATAAATTTGAAATACAAAAATATTAAAAATGAGGAGTAATTTTTATTACATTTTTTACAATTCTAAATAAGTATTAAATAGATGATAAAAAAACCCATTTCTTTGAATAGCATTTTTTAATAATTACAATGAATACAAAATGTTTGACTGAAAAGAGTAATTTTTATTAACTTGAATAATGTTTAATATTATTTTTAAATGTTAATATATTATATGTTATATTTTATGGACACTTCACATTGGAGTCTCCACCCGAAATTAAGTTAAATCTAGTTTTCTGCCGCCGAAATCAAAAGGTCTGTACAATGTTCACATAAACTTTTTAAATATTTTCGTTGAGAAACTATTTAATACTTTTTTATCGAGATAATAAAATAATTGTTACGCTTAGTAATATTTTACAAGAAGTGCACTTTATTTTAACGATTGTATGACATGTGACAACTGTCAACTAACTCAAAACAAACTTCAGCACGTGACTAAAATGCCATAAAGCCACAACATCTTATTTAAGGTCACTTAATGTTATGGAAACGCCCATTTTTAAAGGTGGGAGTACAAAAATATGATTATTTTTATATTTAATGACTAATTCAGACCAATTTTTCTTGACCAACTAAAATTGAATTTTTGTTCACACGTTTTAATATAAATTGAATTCCTGATTACAATCTGCCGCTAAAGGTTTAAAACTTAAAAATACAAAAACTAGGTATAGTATAAACAGCAAAAATGATTAAAGTTCTAACAAGTGACTACAATATAAATTAATAAAGTTAAAGGCATTTAAATTAATACAAAAATAATGCAATTGTTTAAAAATTTAAATTTAATAAAACTTCTTATGCACTAAATAAATATGCTTGGTTAAATTCACAATAAATGTATTCATTGCATACAAATTTTATTGGCCTTCCATGCAGAGAAATTTCAGAACTGTCGATTTTACTTTCTAGAAATAGTAAAACGGATTTATTCTAAAATATTCACTGCTGTCAGATATTTTAATATAATTTGGATTGTGGTTTGTGCATACGAACATATATCCTTGCATTATACTTACATTTTAAATTCCCCAGAAATAAAATGGTTTTTAGTTTTCTATTCCGTAATTTAAATTCAATTATATTATAATATTATAAGAAGTAAAAGATAAAAATTAACAATAAAAATACTGAAAATTCATATGGTGCTCTAAATTACAAATTTCAAAGCAAACCATGTCAAAAACAATTCCAAAGAAAATGCTTATAGGTATAAAAAAATCTGTAAAAATAGAATTACTGGACAGGAAATTAAAGATAATACGTTTAATTGCTTGTTTCGTAATAAATAATTTAAAACGAATTGCCATCTTAACAAAATAAAAAAATCTCTAATATGGCGGCCATAGGAAAAATGGTGGAGGTATCTCAAAATCTAGTAGGCAAAAAAATCACAAATTGGATGAAAGTGTAGATAAATGTGTATGTGTACATGTAAAACTAATTTTTTTAAAACGATTTTGACTGGTTTTCAGTTTTTTTTAATTATTTGAGAACGGCTGATTTTTTTCTAATTTTAAATGCCATAGACGTAATTACGCAACTTTTGTTTTACCGACCTTGTAGTTATTTAAATAAAAAAAGATTTCCATCATAGAAGAAATTAAATACTTCAACCGAGGATCATTGGTAATGTATATATATATATATATATATATATATATATATATATGTGTCCTATTTAAATAAACAAAAAGAAATATACACATTCATATAAAAATCATGTTTTTAACAAAACAAAATTTTTAGCCAGTTCTGTACGATTTTAATGAAATTAACAAAATTGTATAGCTTTATTTATCTATGTACTTTATTGTGTTAAAACGCAATCAAATAATAATTGGCAGTAGGCACTCAAAAGTTTTTTGAGTCAAAACAACCGCGCGTTTCAAAATTTATATTTATGGTCATATTCGCTCCTGTAGCTGTTTAAAAAAAAACGATATAATATTTTTTCGAAAAAAGTCATGTCATTTTTTTACATTTATTTTAGTAGTGACGTTCTTGACCTTTTGTATATTTTCTTTAACATATTGTTAAACAGTATCATTGTTTTTTTAATTTAAAGCTCATAAAAATACATATTTTAATGCATTGCTGTTTACAGAATTTATTTAAGAAGTCGTACAAGCGCTAGGAGGAAAATATACAAACACAAATATATGTAAATATAAATTTTAAAGTTGTTTTAAGTGTCATTTTAACAACTTTTAACACAATAAAGTGTTAAGATTAATTTACAGAATTGTGTAAATTTTATTATAAAGTCGAACAAAAACGGTTCATGTTACAGCACTTCTAATTTTGAAAATTGTCAATTTTGGCTAAAAACCAATTTTATTTTGTTAAAAACTGTATTTTTAAGGAAAATATTTTTTTGAATGTATAAAAAATTGTATTTATTTTATTTTAATTAAATCCCATAGCCAGAAATTATCAATGATCCTCAGTTTTATTTGATTAACAAAATATATATACAAATTTTAATGCTTTGCTGAAAAGTTTGCTGTCAACCAGTATAATTATTAATATTTTCTACTCCCACCTTTAAAACGCCCTTTATCGTACATACAGTGACCTTTTAAATACACATTGACAAGTTGTGGCTTTATGGCGCTTTAGTCACGGGCTGAAGTTAGCAACAGGTTTTTAGTCACCGCCTGAAGTTGTAAAAAATAATTTTTTATCTCAATACAAAAATACAAAAGTATTAAATAGTTTCTTAACGCCAATATTTGAAAAGTTCATATGAACATTGTTCTGACCTTTTAATTTCGCCGGCAGTAAACTATAACTTAAATTCGGGCACGGACTCCACTGTAAAGTGCCCATAAAAAATTTTCTTTACTTTCACTGTGAAAAACGGTCAATTTTTAAGAAATACATTTTGATTTAATACCTTTATAATTGTGTTTAAACAATTTAAAAATTTGACATTTCACGGTGACACACAGATTCCCCTATTCTTTCATAGATGGCGCTCTATACAATTTTTTTATTTAAATCATTTTAAGATAATAATAAGTATTTGTCGTAGAAAAAGTATAGTATGCACCTCGTTTATAAACTTTTCTATACACTCATTAATTTAAGCACTCGCTCGCAAGCTCGCTCGTGCCTAAACTAAATTCGTGTATAAAATTGCGTTTATCAAACTGGATACATAATATACTATTATCTACTTCTACATCAACGAGCTGTGACATTATGGCGTTTTAGTCACGGGTTGAAGTTAGCTTTATTATAAATTGGGGAAAAGTGAAGTTAAATCCGTTGACATTTGACAGATGTCCAAAATTTAACAAATAAAATTGGCTTTAAATTCTTCTTTGTGTTCTTCGTAGATAAAGTATAGTACGCAACTCGTTTTATAAACTTCTCTAGACAATCGTTTTTATTAAACACTAGCTTGCAAGCTTCGCTCGTGCCTAATTAAACCTACTATGGCATTTATAAAACTTGATACATATACTATTATATTTTAGTGTGGTTTATGAAACAAACAATTGAAATAAAAATAGTTTAAAAAAAAATCATAAAAATTCATTGACAATTTAAAAAAAACGAGTAATCATTTAAATCTGCAATTTGAAGATTGCAAAATTTAGCAAAAATGTTTAATTTGTGGAAAAAATGTAAAAAGAAAATAGCCTTAATGAATTAAAGTTTATAATCGTATGTTTAGATAAAAATTAATCCCGGCGCATCCACCATATTTGGAACAATCAAATCTCTAAAAAAATAATAAATTACATAAAATTACTCAACAAATTACTGGATAACTGCATTTCTTTATTTATATTTTATTCTACATTGTAAAATATCAAAAAACTCCACTAATAATATTAAGAAATATGCAGTACAGTTGCTTTAATACATAATCCTTGATAAATTTCTTATAAAATAAGCATTTACTTGGCATCTTTTTCAACAAGATTATTAGTACCATTAGTACCTACTTAAAGAAACACCGTAATTCCTCCTTAGCAATTAAAACTTGTTAATCATTTACCTCATCTTAAAATTAGTCTTAAGTATCTAATGAATGTATGTAAGAATTATGTGATATTATGCTTTCATCAACATTGCATAATATCAAATACAACTTGTTTATTACACCTTGTTGTCAACTACCTGTTACAACCACAACATTCACTAGTAGGGCATGCTATGCGAAGTTTTAGATTTCCATTTTCCGACAAAATAATTTATTCCATTAAAATTAATCACCCAAGAGCGAGTATTAGAAGTTACGGTATTTTGCAAAGTTTCCAATATATATGTATGTTAAATTTGCATTATTAATAGATTATTAATTTTTAAAGATAATTTAAGTATAGGTATTCTTAAATTAATACAAAAATTGCGCTAAAAATGATATGCTTTTTGTTGGATAACTGTGCCATGGAATGAAATTATTTTATTGTCATTTATGTTTTGGATACAGTGTATATATATATATATATATACCAAGTGGCATTTTTAGTGGATAAAACGTATCTGCCACTTATACAAAGTATAATATACACGGAACTGTAGAGTATATTGCCAACATCTCTGCCACGTGGTATTCCGTCCCAAGTAACATTTTTAGTTTTATTATGGTCTTCAAGAACGCTTTAAAACAAAATGTTACTTTGGGATGGAAGTGACTAAAATGGGGAACACTTTTTTAGTGTCAGTTACCTTCCAAAAAAGTGTGATTACATTTCTATAACGTGGAGGTATACTGGCCGAAACTTAAGCTAAACTTTACTACTCTTTACTTTCTATCGCCGTCTCTTTCCAGCATATTATTTATCTCATTATTTTTGCTTTCTCTGAAACTAAATATTAGACTGACACCATACTAAAATTATTTTAATGTAAGAATACAACTTGCAAACTACAATTAAAATAATCCAAAGACTACAATTAAAATAATCCAAAGACAAAAAATTAACACGAATAAAATTTATTATTTCTGGTCACGAATAATTATTTATTGACGTGTTAAATTTAGGGCTTTACTAACCAGAATTATTTGTTTCAAACTAAAAATTTATTTTCCTACAATGGCGACTATTTGTAAACATGTCTGCTTTTAAAGAATGGAACTGGAAGTGGTAATACTATGCAAACAGTGAAAATCACTTAAGCATGTAACAAAAACGTGGCAATAACCACCGCAATGATATAATCAAGTTTTGCCACCTTCAAGAAGTTCCGAAAACGTTGCCAAAACTACTATACCCACTTTACTAATACTACCACTTTCAAGGAATACTTAAGAGATGTGGTTTGATTGCCGTTACTATTCATAATCCACTTTAAAGTTTAGACAACTTTAAGGTGGTGTCAAGAGTAGTCACAACGTTTCAAATATTAGACTGATACACCAAAAAATTATAAAACTATGAAGTTTATTCTGCTGGTGCAAATCACATGATTACAACTATGCTAATATAACTTAATTCAACTGTATCTGTATTGATAATTATCAATTATAATCATTTGAAGTTGCGATATATAAGTTATACATTATAATACATATTGTAAGTTAAATTGGCGAATATTGTGAATCAGGCTTTGAGTCTGATTTACATTACCTAGCATCCTACGACACAACACGGACAAGACGACAAGAAACGGCAACGACACGACTACCGAACATTTTCTTTGCCGGTAGGTAGACTGTAATTATTTAATAAATATTACTAAACGTATTTGTCTGTCGTGCCTGTCTGTTGGTGTGAATGTTAACGAAAATTTGAATCAGGCTTGAATAAAATATTCCACTCATGAAAACCTCTTTAAATGTATTAAGTTGAACATGTGTTCTATAAGGACTAAATATTCCTGTTTAAGTCATCGTATTTAGGCAAGTTAATTTTGAAAAATGTTTCCCGGTGCATTCACCATTTTTGCAAAATACAGGTTGCTCCATTATGTAGAGCAGTTTTGAATGTATTATAACAAAAAAACAAATCTAAATGCAATAAATTGTAGGTTTAAGAGTTATATTTCTAAAAAATGCATTTAATTTTTAGGTGGTGATTGTGGGCAATGGTGGAGTAGGAAAATCTAGTATGATTCAAAGATACTGTAAAGGAGTTTTTACCAAGGATTACAAAAAAACAATAGGAGTAGATTTTCTCGAGCGTCAAATTGAGTAAGTACCCAATAATTTAAAAAGTATTCTAATACAAAAACACAAATTTCTCGAAAAAAATAACTACAAGGTTACTATATAAGTGCTTTTCAAATTACCAAAAGAATAACGTAATAAAAACAAATTAAATACCACATATTTACGGAAAAATAACGTTAAAATTACTTAATTTCTGTTCTTTCTTTCTAAACCTTTAACATTTATATTTAATATCTTTTTAATTTATATTTCAAAATGATATACCTAAAGTAAAAAAACTAATTTAGCATTAAAACTTAAACGCATCTTATCTTATTGATAAAAATAAAATGATTCAAAATAAAAAATCTTTAAAATAACTATATAATTTATGTACAAAAACTTACATAATTATATTAAGCCTTAAAAATCATTTAATTTGAATAACTGCGTAAATATTAAAAGATTATAAATTACTTTTTTTAAATATTTGTAAAAAATGATTTTATAAATTGTTCCACTCCCTCCTTTAAAACGCCCATTATCGTACATGTTTCTATGACTTTTTAAATACACACTGATAAATTGTGGCTTTATAGCCTTTTAGTCACGGGTTAAACTTAGTTGAAAGTTGTCAAATGTCATGCAATCGTTAAAATAATACTAAATTTAAAAATTATTTTGTTATTTCAATACATAAATGCAAAAGTATTAAATAGTTTCTCAACGCCAATATTTAAAGAATTTTATTTGAACATTGTACTAACCTTTTGGGATACATTTCGATTTACACATAAAAATTTGACATTTGACAATGCAGATTGACAATTTGGTTACTCTATACAAATATTTAATTTAAATCATTTTAAGATAAAATTAAGTATAAGTCGTAGAAAAAGTATAGTAAGCAACTCGTTTATAAGCTTTTCTAGACACTCATTTAATTAAGCACTCGCTCGGAAACTCGCTCTTGTCTGAATAAAATTTGTGTCTGAAATGGCGTTTATCAAACGTGATACATACTATACTATTTTATTAAATAATAAATTAATAATTAAGTTATAACTTATTATGCGTCTTTCAAAAATTTTACCTTTCTAGTTTTATTTCTCACCTAAAGTTAATTCTTTATTTTAAGTCATTATTAGGTAATATTTTTTTAAACCACTTTAAAAAGTTCACAGACAAATAAAAATTATTTATAAAGTAGGTTTATTAACGTAAAAATTTGAGTTAAGGGTAAAATTAGTTTAGAGTGATTATTTTTTAATATTTCTAAAAACCTATACAAAATTTCAAATTTTAAATGTGTGTTTGTTTTTATCAATTAAAACATTATTATACTGGGAATAACCTACTGTACATTATTTTCGTCCACAGGACGAGTGAAATGTGCTGCTTTGGTTTCAATGAGTAAATATCATCGATAATTAATCATATCACGAGTTATATTTAGTGAGAAAATATAATGAATTTTAGGATTTTACGAATTGTCTGTTTGACATTTTAAATTAAAATGTGCTTTAAATTATAAAAAGACTTCAATAAACCTCGATCTTTTAGAGTTTATAATTCAATATTTTAATCATTTAACAAAACAGTATTTAAATGTCAACAAATGTCAAATCAAGAAAAGTGTCAAAATCCTTAGCAACGTGTAAACAAGGTGATAAAAAATATTGTCGCTGTGATAAAATGCGTAACCATGGAATACTGGCATTTTATTGGTTCTAATTATAATGAATTGTATTGTCGTTAAAATAATATGACATCTGTCAATAACTAACCTAACCTATAAGTAATTTTGATTTGTAAAAATTTCCAGTAAACTGACAAGATTTTTTAATTTAATTTTAGTTTTTAAGGGTTATTTACCAACATATTTACTTAAAACCCTTGGGGTGGCACTTAAGTACCAAAAAAGCGTTTTAACGTTTGGAGCATATGTCGTTCGGAATTTTGAGCACTGTATTAAGATTAAACAAATCTTAAGCTTAATCAAGTAAGATATAGGGATGCTCTTTAACTCCGCAACAAATTAAAAAAATTAACAATTTTTTGCTTTTTTAAGATATTAACTTTCTTAATTTAAGTGCTGCGTTAAAATAATTACAATAATCTCTTTTAAAGCGTTTTCGAAAAAGTAAAAGCAAAAAAAATTGTGTTTTCACCTTATTTCCGCAAAGTTATGTTTAAGCTTTTCTTATGGGCCCAAAACGATTCATCCAAAAAATACTGTACTAAATGTAATGTCATTAGTTTTACTTTATTGCTTATTTATTTTTTTGGCTCATTAATAAAAAAAATCATAACGATGACAGCATGGGTTTTGTTCCAAATAATTCGCCTAAATATTCTTAAGAACACCTGCCAAATCTTTAAAAAAATCATAATATTTGCATTTTAATTATGCTCTCTATTTTTGTGATTATATTTATAAAAACATCTCTGTAATGACTTTAAAAGTCTGTTCTATAGTATAATTTTTCTTTTGTTAGCACAATTTATTTAAAATATTACCTACGTGAGTGAAATATAATGAAAGCTTCCTACCTTATTTCACGCGATTAAACATGCATTTAACAGATTGCAATCTGTTAAATGCACACCCACTTTCGATAATTTTTGACTTACCTGTGTTTTGGAAAAAGACCAAGAAATTTGGACAAATTGTGCTTCTTGTCTTAGTAAAGTAATGCACCGAAAAGTATATTTATACATTTTAACAGTATAGTAAAGCTCACAGAAGTACGCAGTAGCAAATATTTTTACAGATTTATTAAGACTGGTCAAAATATATACAGTAAAAATTTAAAAGGCACTAACGACCCTGGAGTAAATCGTTTTTTTTGCTAAAATTTTGTACGTTGAGATGGTTTTATGATAATCTGTAAACCCGCGGGCGCCGCATTAACAGTCTGCACACTTTTGTGCCACTTCACCTTAAGGAGTCCGAAAAGTATTAATAAAGTCTACAGCAGTAATCACATTAAACATCCGAATAAATAACATGTTAGAATTTTCGATTGAAAGTTCGCCCAACATATAATTTAGCTGGTATGTGAATATTTTTAGTCACGGAAGTTCTTTTGCATTATAAACGACTACGTGGATAATTACGCAATTAAAACTATCACTTCAAAACCGGAATTTTTTCACAAAAGAATGCTGCGTGCAGCTTTATAACAGTATCAACTTATTTGTGCATGATTTGGTCGTTTTGTGCTCAGCGCAAGTTTAATCAAGCATATGTTAAGTACGTACTTACGCATTCCTGCAAAAACATAACCACATATAATTTCGATTTGATGATAAGGCGATAAGACCCTAATTAATACACAGTGTGAGATATAAATTCAGTACTGTATGAAATGTTGGAATTTGCATTCATGATTAAAATTCTTTTTGCGTGATGCCTCAAGATTTATTCAAAGTCAAGTGGAGGTTAACAGTTGTAGCGAAAAAGTTTTAACAATGGGATTATTTAACGGATTTAAATAAATAAAAGTCATCTTAATGGTTAAATGATTGCTTTAAAATGTTGGGTGCCTAATACAAATCAGAACCGGCTTAGGTTTTTACATTTAACTCTATTGTTTTTTAAATTATCATAATGATAGTTGTATTTGTCAAAATTGTGGACGTTAAAAAATTAGTAGTAACCCATCAAATCAAATTTGTAAGAAAAACTTCTGTATTTTTAATTTTAAAAATTAATTTATTATAAGAAGAAGCAAAAACAATTTTTGAAAAACTTTTTTACAAATTTTCAATTGTACTATGCTCCACACCTCAAAGTCCCACCACGTGACCACGTACGGAACGCAGTCTTTTGAAATAAATAATATTTATATTGTTACCGCTTATGTTTATGCTTAAAAGTTAATAAATCTTTATAGTATCACAATAACAATGGTTGGTTTAAGAATTTAGGAATATAAATACTGCATTTAATGAAATTCCCAAGTGTAAGTGATATTTTTGTGCATTGGGTCTACATTTCTCCATAAAATAGTTTTAACTAAACAGGATTTATTTAAAAAAATCTAACTTATCTATTATGAAATAAGAATATCTTTATCAAAGGTAGGTTAATATATTAGAACAAAAAATATCATCTAATTTTGTATTTTAAGGTTATAAAAATCTATTTTGACCAAAATAAATTAGTGGATTATTTGGAAGAGTGTGTTAATATGGTCATAAATAAATATAGGTATACTAAATAATTGTTGAATATGGTTCAAATTAAATTGAAGCTTTTATACTTCTAATGACAAAAATTGTGCATACCTCTCGGCATACCTACTTTAAGTTGGATTATAAGAAAACAAACAATTTTTAGAGAAACTTGCAATGTGAAAATATTTAATACTCCCATGACATGTGATTTATTAAAATATTAAAGTTATAATGATTTTTCGATGTAGATCAAATTTAGTCAAAGCTTTTTAACTATTTGTATTGACAAAACTTTATGAAGGTACACTTTAAGCTGGATAAGAAAAACTACCACATTTTTAAATACCATATTATACTGTCTTTTAAATAATCCAAAATACTTATTTATTTTGATCAAAATAAATTTTTCTAACCTTAAAATTGCAAAATTAGATGATATTTTTTTATAATATATTAACCTACCTTTTATACAGATATTCTTATTCCATAATAGAGAAGCTAGATTTTTTTAATAAATGCTGTTTAGATAAAATTATTTTATGAAGAAAACCAGATATTTGGACCAAATGCGCAAAAATATTACTTGTTTGGCACCATACACTTTAGAATTTCATTAAATGCAGTATTTATATTTAAATTCTTAAACCATCCATTGTTATTGTAATGTTATAAAGATTTATACATTTATAGATTATACATTTATAGATTTATAGATTTATACATTTTCAACATTTTTATACATTTCATTAAATGCAGTATTTATATTTAAATTCTTAAACCATCCATTGTTATTGTAATGTTATAAAGATTTATACATTTTTAACGCCTACACATAATATTATTTCTTTCGTTGACTATAC